GGGAGAGGGAGAAGCAGGCTTCCTGCCGAGCAGGGAGCCCGATGTGGGACTCGATCCCAGGACCCTGGGATCATGACCTGAGCTGAAGGCAGACCCTTAACGACTGAGCCACCCAGGCGCCCCTGTGCTTGATATTTTTTAAGTTCTCACAGAGAGGGCTTCCTTCTATATGGCACAAGATGTCTTACTCCACACTACAATGTTCATGTCATATGACTCGTGCTTCTGAGTTTAGTTTCAGGCAAGAAGCCAAAACCTTTTGTACCCTTTGGTCAAGGATGCATTGAACTTACCGTTCTCTGTGTTTTAATATTGTGCATAAGGTGACACCAATCAAGAATACAAGAAGTACTGAACCTGCAGAAAGACCTAGAAAACAAAACAGCAAGTATCAAATGCCAGACAATTGTGACCTATATTGTTTTGAAGTAATTGTGGGGCTGTTCCTAGTGGTGGGGAAATTGTTATGGGACTTTATACTTATCCTTTGTTAGCCATAAAATGTTACGTTCCTAAATAATCATACTTGGGCTTAATTTTTTTTCTGATTCAATCCAGTCCACCTTTAATCTAAAGCACCAAGCATTTGACCACAGGGCTCCAGTCAAGTTTCTGTTGAGCTTTTCTGTTTCTTTCAATTTTATTAATAATATTCTTGTTACTGGGGTGATATTAGGAGCTCAGGACACAAGGATCCCACGACTTGGCATAACAACATTTAATTCTCAGTTGGAAAATATATTTTGCTGTTGCAGAATAAGTCAGCCTGTTTGATAGTACCAAATCATGCAAAAGATCAAAAGTTAATATAAACTCAACTTTCAATTGAAAAACTGGGAATAGTTGGCTTTTTAAATTATTTATTCAACTCTATCCAAAAGTGTCAGTTTGTAATATGAAGTATGTATTAAAAGAGCTTTAAGACACCAAAAAGGATAATTTCCTAGGAGTTCAAGTGAAAAACAAAAATAACAGGCAGGATATAGGGCCTCAAATTCGATATATATATATATATTTTATAAAACATCATTAGAAATTTAATTCAAATATTTAAGAAAACTTACCACTAAGAAGAGGAGCAAGTGAAGCTAAGGAGAGTACAAAATCACAAAAATATTAGTCTAGTTGCATACTTCAGTGCAGCCCAAAGTCCCGTGGTAATATCCCCAAAGATAACACTCAGCTCCTTTCTCTCAAAATCTACTTAAAAAGATGTATTGGGACCCTGCATTGTATGCACTCTTCCTTCATTTTTTATGTAACAATTCACTGGATGTTTAAAAAAATAACACAGTAAGTTGGGGTAGTTCACGAATGAGAAAAGCCAATATACTCAACTTTGTAATCAGAGATTTCTCAGGTTAGAATGCAAGTAGTAACTGTTACAACATGTTGTTCAACATATTTTTTGGAGGTCCCTGTCAAATTGGTTAAGTACTTATAAACCAAGATTCAGCAAGAGAAATCTCAGTAACAGCTCCTTTCAAAATGTAAGGTTGTTAGTTCTGCATCTTGTAGGTTGGTACTCCTCTCCCTTTATTTTCTTCTTTACTTCCCTCATCCTCAGAAAGTTCTGCTTTTTCTAGAATAGACCACTAACTTCAAATTCATCTGTTACTGTAGCACTGGTCACAGACCCACATCAATTTAAAACCTAGAAGTCCCTAACATTGATGGATACTCCTCACTCTTCTTCTCTCCAGTGAGACAAGTATGAGCACGGTAGCCTTTTGCTGTTACCTGGTGATTTGCAGACAGCCAGGGGCGGGTTCCATCCCTGATCATCCTGACACTGGCTCTGGGGACTGCCTTCCAGGGTATACCCCTCTTCACACTCCAAAGTGACGATGGCACCATACTGATACATTTTCCCAGGCTCTAGCCCCTTCTGGATTCCATTCATATACTCTGGGGAGCTACAGTTTACCTCTGAAATGAAAGAAAGCTCATTGAAGCTGGATCATACTTTAGCCTTTTCTCAAGGAAGTAGATACTGCCCTGAATGGAAAGGTTTATGAAACCAACTCGGTTCATTCTCAGTAAAGAAAGCCTCACTGTGAGAACACAAAAGAACATCTTAGGCAGAGTTTTTCTGTGTCAACCATCCATCTCAATTACCTCTAGGTAATTTAAGCCAGATTATTTTCCTTCTTTGAGCTTTAGTTTCTAAACTAATAGTGTTGGATAATTTTAATGGCCTCTTTGAGAAATGGTAAAGGCTGA